TAAAGTTTGAGGCAAAATACATGAGATGACCATTATTTCATTATGATGTCAGCATTCCACTGCTCCAGATGTTCCAGAACCAGTCTCTTCCAACTCCAACTCTACATAAGGTAAGACTTTCCTGAAGGTAAAAAATGAAAGGCATGGCCGCACTTGTCAAGAGGGACACTTTGATCCCTTGCTGTAAATTCTACCCCTATACTCTAGACTTTCCCCTAAAAAGCTCCCATGTTGCAAAGCCCCCAGGAGAAATCAGAGACTGAAGCTACAATTGGTTCAGATTGATCAGGTAGAATTCTGGAAATAGTGGGTCATAAGGGCAGCATCACTCCAGTCTCATTCCACCTATACTGGCTCCCGATTTGCTTCTGGTCCCAATTCAAGGTGCTAGTATTGACCTTCAAGCCCAATATGGCTTGAAGCCTGCACACGTTAAGGACCAACTACTCCCATATGAACCCACTCAACCTCTATGATCATCTTTGGCCCTGCTTCGGGTACTTTAAAAATGTGATAACCATGATGTAAAACAACTAAATTTTAAAAGTACCACCTTGGTTTTTGAAAAGCACTGGGTCCAGGCGTGTTGATAAGTGAAACAACTCATAGTTTATTTCAGCTCGGGAAAACGAGACAAGGAAAGCAGGACCAGAGGCCTGTTTATATTCCCATAGTGAACCACACCCAAACACACACCCACACCCGTGATAGGATTATTTACAGTGCACATGCATTCAATAGGTCACTCAAGGATCCTGACCGCCCGATTGGGTGCATTCCAGGATCCGTGCTGGCTATTGTCTCTGAGAGCAAAGCTTAAGCCGTTCGCATGGCTGTGTGAGGACCCGACCATGTGTGTGGTCTATGTAAGAACACAACAGTTTGAAACTCTCCTAAAGTTAAAACAGAGGATGACCTGAGGAAAGGATAATATGGTACAATAGTGTTGCAAATTAAGGCTCCAGTGCTATGCATACCTGCCTTGGGTGAATGCCAAGTGAAATAAATGGAAATTCCTGTGAATTTTTAATTGAAAGCTTTAGGCTACACTGAAGTAAAGCCTGAGACTACAGAATAAAGTCGGAATGCAAGAAGATAATCAGATTTTGGCGTAGTAAACTTCAAGTGGGGAGGGGGAGACATGTCTGGTAATTAGAATTAACAATACAGATAGTGAATAGTCACTCATATTTTACAGGATTTTGGCCAGTTCATTCAAGCAATGCAATTCTTTCTAACCAAGGATCCTGAGATATCATAAACATCTGAACACACACACCCATGCATGTCATGCAGTTTAATTAGGGCTGTAATCCTAACTGTACATATTAAAAATAAATCCCTTTGAAGTGGGAATTACATCTGAGTAAACATACCTGGGATCTGTGTGAATCCAACATTTTTAACTCCAAAAAATATGCACAATCCTGTATAGGTTTACTCAGAAGTCCCACTCATGCCAACATTTCTACTCACATATGTGCACAGGCTTGCAGCTCTCTCTTATGCACATGCACTTGAAACTAAATCCTACTGAACTCAGCATGTCTTACTTCAGAGCAGGATGAGGCATAAGATCAGCCTGTCCTCACCATCCTAAAGTTGCAATGGGTAGTGGCCTGTTCTGTGGGGTTTATTTTCAGCAGTTAGCCCTGAACTGTGGAATGGGATCCCAACAGAGGTGTCTAAAGGAGCAATCCCAAGCAGGGAGCAGGTCTACTCAGAAGTAAGTCCCATGTCATTTAATGGGACTTACTCCCAGGATTGCAACCTTAGCCACCCTTTCCCTCCTCCCCCCACACAGACTTTTCATAAACTTCGGAAATCCATACAGATCAGGAGAGCTTTCAATGCTGCTGGAAGCCTCTGCTGGGGCTTCTTAGGATGGATTATTTCACTGATTTTAGTTCCTTGATTTTATAGAGAGAAAGTTGCATTTGAGCCGCTATGATTCATGGTTCGGTTTGCCCAAAGAAAGTCTAATTTTAATCAATAAATGGGAAACTTGTGTCTGAGCTGCACCTCTTTAAACGGCACATGGAGACAATTGCCATACCAAAAATCATTCATCCCACACAGAAAACTTGCATATCAGTGATTCTAGCCAAACCTCCTTTGTGGCAAGCTCATTTTCTGTGTGCGGGGACTGCTGTTGTTTGGAGGAGCATTCTAACATGTGAAGCCACTACAAACAACCTGAAGTCTTGGACACAGTTTAACCCTCTGAAGAAAAAACAAGGAACTATCACCGAAGCTCACTTACTCCAACCAAACATGGTAGTGCTCCAGCTGTGCTGCTGTTTGAATTTTCAACACCCGTTTGCCCTGCCAGCACCCCAGCACCTTTGATGTGGATTCTGCTCTGACAGTGCTCTGCAGTCCACACCCCAACAGCCACAACTCTTCCTGCATCTCGTGAAGTGAGAGCTCTGATTCACGAACATTTAAATGAGAATAAATTATGTTTGACTTTAAGGTGCTAAGAGGTATCAAACTCATTTGTTATGAGAGCCAGATCTGGCATAAATGTCACTTTGTCAGGCTGGGCCATGTGTATCATAAAAGGTAACACAGGGTACCAGAGATATAAACTTTATAAAGGACACAGGCAAACCCAATTAATGATATTTTTTTACTCAAAATACAAACATGCTTAAAACATTAACACTCTTACAGTATTTCCTTACAGTATCTCCCTGATCTCCTCCCATTATGCATGAGCACTGTGACAGTATACAGGGACTGAGGGACATAAATCACAGCCTCTGTCATCTGGCAATGAAGGCAATCAGTTGCTCAGGGGCTAGATAAGAGCCCTGGATGGACCATATGTTTGACACCCCAGGACTTTTATTGCACAGCTACCCCTTGGAATTGCCTGGTTTCTCTAAAATCTTGATAATCATGCATAATCCTCAATCTCTTCTCTTGATCTTAAACACACCAGTAGCTCAGTCCTCGACATCCACAGTCTACTTATGCATGGATTATGCGTGGGTCAGGAGTTTGGGAGTGCTCCTGGATGCCTCTTTAACAATGGAGGCCCAGGTAGCAGCCACTGCCAAGACAGCCTTTTACCATCTATGGCTGATTAGGCAATTAGTTCCCTTCCTTGAACGCAATGACCTGGCTACAGTGACCCACGCGATGGTCACCTCGAGATTAGACTACTGTAACACTCTCTACATGGGGCTGCCTTTGTCCCAGATCCGGAGGCTGCAGCTAGTGCAGAATGCCGCAGCCAGGCTGTTGACGGGCCTCTCCATACAGGACCACATCTGGCCTGTGCTGAGGACACTCCACTGGTTGCCTATAGTGTACCGAGTTCGGTTCAAGGTGCTGGTTTTAACCTTTAAAGCCCTATATGGTCAGGGGACTGCCTCTCCCCATACGAGCCCCAGAGAGCACTGAGGTCAGGGTCGCAACACTGGTTGACCCTCCCTGGTCCGAAAGAAGCCAGGCTAAATACTACCAGAACCAGGGCTTTCGAGGTGGCGGCCCCACACTGGTGGAATGAGCTCCCAGAGAACATCAGGGCCCTGCGGAACCTCTCACAGTTCCGCAGGGCCTGTAAAACAGAGCTCTTTCGCCAGGCGTTCGATTAGGGGCTGCCACTGAGGGGTGTGCCCTGGAACATCTTCTGGCCGAACTTAGACCATCTCCTGGCTAGAGTCCCCATTGGCTACTACCCCTATCTCGGGATTTGATTGGATTACCGCCATAGTTGGTTCTGTATTGTTGTTGTTCACTTGTTTTAACTTATATTGTATTTATTAATTTTTTTAAAAAAATTGTTATGTTATTTAATCTTGTTAGCCGCTTTGAGCCTTCTTGTCAGGCAAGGCGGGGTATAACTACAAACAAACAAACAATAAATAAATAAATAAGAAATAAATGGTGCTTCTGTACACCTGCTAAATTTTACCCATCTTTCCTGTGACCTTCCCCAAACCTGCTTGGGGCAATATTTTTGGAAATGTCACAGCAAAGCCAAGGTGGAGAAACCCATGGAGGGGAAAGTCTGGATCTTCCCAGTACCAGCCATGTCAACACTATGTTCCCTATTCCATGCAGGCCATTTCTTCCCACCACCAGAGAGCTTTTAAAAAATCAGCAGCTGAATAGAATTATAATGCTATACAAATGAGACTTGTATTCTCAGAATTCCTAGCTTTCAGTGTTGCCAACCTCCAGGTGGTTACTGGAGATCTCCTGGGATTACAACTGATCTCCAGGCAATAGAGATAAATTCACCTGGAGAAAATGGCTGCTCTGGAAAGTAGACTCTATGGCATTATACCCTAAATTCCTCCCCAAATCCCACCCTCCTAAGGTTCCACCTCCAAAATGACCAGGTATTTCCCAGCCCACAGCTGGAAACCCTGTTTAAAAACAAGTCTCTAGTCCCTTTTATTGCTAATGCACTTTTAATTTTTTTTCAATTTAATGTACTTTCCCCCTTAAATTTTCACAACAGAAGGAGCCAGGACTTACTTTTTTAAAAAAAAAAAAATGAAAGGTGGGTATTCAGAGAATCTGACACATTTCTTTAACGTTATAATACTATACCAATATTCAACTGCCAATTTTAGGGAAAGGGGGGGCTGAAAATACGGGGGGGGGGGCAGAGAGCTGCGCTACCCTGTGGAATCTCTGCGGCCGTTGCCTCTTATTAGAAGCAACGGAACCCATCCCCATGTGGAGAGGACTATAGTGAGTATAGCCCCAACACAGAGCAAGGTTGTACTCTGCCTTTAGTCCCAGGTTAGGTTCCTTTTTTCCTGCCTGCCTGTTTCCTCATCTGATGAAGCCAGAAGACTGTTGGATTGGATAGACCGGTAAAACCGGGATTCCTAACCCGTCCCCCGACAAAGACCAGACTTTTGATAGCAGCTGAGGGATCCTCCCTTAGTTAGTGCTGATGACATCAACCCTGGAAGCAGTATAAAGTACAGGGGGGGGGGGGGGAGGCCAGAGAAACTTTGCAGGGGGGGGTGGGTGGAGAAATACGGCCACTTTTGAGTCACAACTGAATAGTAAGTTTGGGAGATCAGGGTGCGTTTATTTTTCTAAGGCTTCCCACCCAGCGTCCGTTATTATAATCGCGTGCTCTAACGACCTACACTTATTGTCTAAGTTCAATCTTTCCAAATACGATGAATCCTTCTCCAAATGCCTTCAGTCATCTCTCTGTCTCTGTCTGTCTCTCTCGGGGCTACCTTTTTCTTTTCGTTTTTTTAACTAGTTGGTCCTGTTTTGACTTTTTTTTTCTTTTTTTTTAAGCTGGTTTGGAGCATCAAGCGATGACCGAATTTGTATCTCCAGTCCGCGTGGAAGTTTTAACTCAGGTCAGTAGGAGCAGCCCCCAAACGTGAGTGGGCTGAATCAGAAGATCGCACAGCAATCAAACGATACTCATAACATTGACTGTCGACTTGGGGGCTGGACCAGATCGAGGGTGGGTTTGAGTAGTCGCGGGGTCTAGACGTCCTAGACTGCGGATTGGTTCTCCGAAGTGTGGGGCGTGGAAAAGGAGGGAGACGAGCGACACCCGAGGCTCTTTTCATGGGTATTGTTTTTTTAAGCAGAAAAACAGAAGCATATGAGGGCTGGGCGGGGGCAGCTTGTTTTGATTTTTTTTAGTGGATTTAAGCCCTTTGGTATACCTGGGGAGTGGGAGTACACCGCTTAAATAATTGCGTAATGTAAACTAGGGTTGCCAGCTTCAGGTTGCAAACTATCGGGAGACTTTGGGTGGAACTTGAGGAGGGTGGGTTTTGGGGAAAGGGAAGGGGAGAGACTTCAGTGGGTATAATGCCAGAGAGTTTACCTTCCAAACCGGCCATTTTCTCCGGCTGAATTGATCTCTCTGTGGCCTGGAGATCAGATGTAATCTTGGGAGATCTCCAGCTACCACCTGGAGGTTGGCAGCCTTAACTGCTGACCGTGGTGCAGCTCCTGTTAAAGAGTGAATGCAGTTCATCTAAAAAACCAGGTTAAATAAAGGAAAGGGGATGTCCACAGATGCCTGGTGGGGTGGTCAAGTTGCCAACCTCCAGGTGGCACCTGGAGATCTCCCCAGATTACAATTTATCTTCAGACAACTGAGATCAGTTCCCCTGGAGAAAACAGCTGCTTTGGAGGGTGGATTCTATGGTATTATACCCTGATGAGGTCCCTCCCCTCTCCAAACCTTGCCATCCCCAAAATCTCAAGGTACTTCCCAACCCACTGCTGACAACCCTATGGGGTGTGAGTGCATACAAACTAAAAAGGCTTTGGGAAGTATTCTTACATTTGTGAAGGGGGTAATGATCACAAAACAGGAGCCCAGTCAGGGATTTTCTGGTCTCTCTCATTTCAGTGGATGTCTTATGTATCTTTTATTATAACTGTTGGTGTACATTGATCTGAAACTCTGAGTATAAATCAACATTTACATTTAATAGAGAATGTTATTCTTCAATGCTGCCCAATTTTTTAAAAAAGATCTAATGGAGAATAAAGGAGCTTGACACTTCACAAAAATCACTTTAAAATGTAGACCTTTGTAAAGCCATTTTTATCTTTTCAATTTGTTCCTTTTCACTACAAAGAAGTTTTTTTATCCAGTCAGCAATAGAAGTAGTCTACTCTTTCTGCAGTCGTCTACAATTATTCTTCTTGCGATCTTATTTTTGATTGAGCAAGTAAGTAAACAGTCTGAAAGGATGTACTAGGAAGAGCGCTGGATTTTAACTGGGGGGGGGGGGCCCTTGGGGTTCAAATCCCAGCCCTCATTGAATGACTGGTACAAGATCACTGTCCCTCAGCCTAAACCACCTCAAGGGACTGTTTTGAGAATTAAGTAAAATAATCCCTGTGAATGCCTGCCGTGAACATCATTCTCTGGTATCTCCAGTGAAAGACTTCTAGGTAGCTGATCTGTACTGGTGGCCCAGACTGCTGCCGCCAGTGAACGGCACTTAGACTGCTGGTGGGCTAATGGTTTGGCAACTTAAGGCAGCTTTATCTGGACCCAGTGAAAGGTGATGGATAATGAATGGGATTTGAATAACCAATATGCCCTTTACAACAGCCGATATGCCCAACAATTCACATTATAGTTAATATATAGGAGTTCATGCATAAAATTGGTACCTTTCCACATACAGTCCAATGAAGGCTGATGCGAGGAGGGGGGCTTTTTAAAACCTTCACAGTCGTGAGTGACCATTTAAAATACAAAAGGTCCCTGCCACACGGCAGAAAAAAACACAGGCAAAGTGCGGCTATTCAGAGCCGCACCAAAAGAAACACGCGGCAGCGGGATCACATAGATCCCCTGAGCCGCTGCACCATTGCTCCCCGACACGATCAGATGCCGAGGAGGAAGCCACCGAGCAGAGACAGCCAGCTGCGCATGTGTGCGCATGCGCAGTTTGGCCAGGAGCCTCGGAAGGACGCGCCAGCGATCCCACGGCCGCACTTGATGCGGCCTTTCTGGTAGGTCCACCTCTGTAGGTGGTTTATTTTAACAACGGATCTTCGGCCTGAAGGGCCAGATCGGGGACGGGTGCGCAACACTTCCCAGATGTTGCGGTGGGATCGCGCCCGTTTGCTGTGGCCCCGATCCGTCCCTCTTCCGTCCCTAAACCTCCGGTGTGACCGGGGCCTAAGATATCTTTTCTTAAGGCATGAGAACCTATCCAAAATATTCTTGGGGGGGGGGGGATTTGCTGAAATACATAGCTGGTGTATCGCCAACAAAATTCTCCTTCAACTGACAGTTTAAAGGGCATCTCCAGTGGTGGGGAAAGTAGGTGATGATAACCAGTTACAGAGGCGTTTTTTGTTTTGTTTGTTTAGGTGGCTGTAGGAAGGGGGTATGCTCTCTACTAGAATCATGGTGTTCATAAAAGTGTCCTCTGCTGTAAATTTTCTGGGAATTCTATAGTAGGTAATGCTTAGAGAGGACCAGTCTTTGGATGTTTGTGATATGCAACCTTCAGCAGTCCCAGACACAGCTTACAGCTTATCAAACAGCTGTCCCAAGAGGTAGCAAAGCCAGGGGACTGTTGAGCTCCTGGTGAGGTGCCATATGTGGCCTAGAGATGTCAAGTGTTGAGATTTTTAAAAATCCTATACGTGAATGAATTTGGGGGGCACAGGCCACAAAAGCTCAGATGTTAAAAAGTACTGAGGGAGGCACTTGCCAGCAAATGGTCTGAAAGGCAAAAAGAAGCATCTAGGCTCTTTTGTCCCTTGGTCAGTTGGTGCCTCTAATTCAGGGTGATGGGTCACAAGTTGGGTATATCTGAGCTAGACTTTGCTGCATCTCTCTCATGAGGCTCAAGTAATAGGATGATTCTGTGGACACTGAAGCCCTGCTTTGAAGTGAAACCCCTCTTTCCTCTTCCTGCAGCTGCAAGCCCATGGCATTGCACCAGAATATATCACCTACCCCCGTGTAACCCTCACCTCTGCCTCTCGTCTGTGTGTGAGGCACAGTGACTCCTCCCGGCACTGTCTTACCCTCTTAGATCCCCATACATCTCCCAAGGAAGATAAGGGTCCCCCAAGCTGGACTTTACATCAAGTGCAAGGAGCATTAGCTAATCCAACTTGTCCACTTCTAGCTGTGAGAGGTATGTATTGGCAGAGTTGCTGGGTACTGAATATGGAAGGGGGATGTAATAGGAGCTGGAGGTGAAGAGCTGGGCTAAGAGAGTCAGAGATATTACTAGATTCCCGAATACAAGCTTGAGGTGAAGAGTTGGAGATTGCTAGAGCTGAGGTCAGCTCAGTATTGAAAAGCAAAGGTAAAACTAACAGTACAATGATCCTAAGCAGTGTTGTATCCTTACAAGCCCATTGACTTCCAAGAGTGAAGTTCCATTTACCAATAAGTAAATAGGTTTGGAGTGAGTTAAGACTTCTCTTACTGCATGCTGGAGCTTCAGTTGCAACTGGTCTCTCAATATAAGGTGGTAATGAAATTTAGGCTGGTTGCAATTTTTGATTGATACCCTAATGTGTATATGAGATGGAGATGCTGGGTTGTTTAATAACCTGCTAGGCTCCGATGGCTCAAGTGGTTAAGACGCTGAACTGCAGGCTGTGGAAGGTCAGTAGTTCAGGAGTTCAAGACCCGGGTGCCGCAAGACGGGGTGAGCTCCTGTCTCTAGTTCCAGCTCCTGCCAACCTAGCAGTTCGAAAGCAAGAAAATGCAAGTAGATAAATAGGTACCACTTCGGTGGGAAGGTAACAGCATTCCGTGCGCCTTCGTGTTTAGTCATGCCGGCCACATGACCACGGAAACGTCTTCGGACAGCGCTGGCTCTTCGGCTTTGAAACGGAGATGAGCACCGCAACCCTAGAGTCGGATTCGACTGGCTTTCGAGCAAGGGAACCTTTACCTTTACAGGCTCCATCTAGGGCCATCAGCATTTCCAGTGGAATAAACTTATCAGTATCAATCTGTGCAGTCTCACACTCTGCCACCTTGAACTTCTCTAAAGTAACTTCTGACACACATGGCAGATGAGCTGCTGAACCCCAAGTTCTCATTCATAGTTTCCCCTGTAATTACTCTGCTTTCTTTAGTTTAGGAGGGATTTCATTCAGCTTAGCAGATACAAGAAGAGGCACTGTGCTACTTACTATAGCTAACTGACTATGCTAAGAAATTAAAGGGCTTTGAGTGTTGGCTCCAGTTCTAATGACAACCTTAACTTTCTCTCCCCTTCCTGTTAGCAAGGCAGCTGGCCCAAGTGTATGATGTGGAACAGCGTTCCTTAAAATCCCAGTGGGAATTTTCCCATCCTATTGAGCACTGGGTCTGGCTAGATGCAGGTACTCTAGCTGTGGTGACCGAGGAAGAAGTCCTGCACTGGACCATCCAACGTGAGTACTGGAAGGAGTGGACAATACAATGAGGGGTGGTGGTGGGGAGAACTGTCCTTGGAATATATGGATCTACAAAAGTTCAGTAAATGGCAAGTAGAATGAGGGATAACTTATTTGTCAGTGTGGTGTAGTCATTAGAGAGCTGGACCAGACCTGGGAGACAAGTGTTCATTTCCCCATTTGCCAGGTTGCTGATTGTATAATCCTAGGCAGAGTTACACCCTTCTAAGTCAACTGGTCTCAATGAACTTAGAAGGGTGCCACTCTGCTTAGGATTGCATACGGGTGATCTTAGACCAATCATTATCTCTATCTTAGCTCAACCAGTCTCTCAAGGTTGTTGTGAGGATGAAATGGAGCTGGGGAGAGCCATGCATGCTACTTTCTAGGAGGACAGATGGGATAAAATTGCATGAAATGAATGAAAGTTTAAGTTTTATTTTGTTTTGTTTATATCTGAGTTCCATTTTTCTCCCCAGTGGTGAGACTGTAGGTGCTTGTTGGATGGAGCTGGGAGTGAGGATCAGAATCCACTGCTAAAAGGACAAAGAGAAAATAGGCTGACTGCACTTGCACACATGCTGAACAATACAGTTTCAATCCACTTCAGCTACCATTTGCAAGTGGATTTTGCCATTTCGCACAGTAAAATTCAGTTGCGAAGTAGATTGAAAGTGCATTATTTAGTGTGTGTGAAAGAGCCCTATATAGGCTAGACTCAGTAAGCAGCACTGGGACAGAAGATAATGAAGATGTCTACTTTGAGATGCTGTTTTGCATGGACTGATGGGTTGACTTGGAGAGAACCTCATTTGTTATCTGCATTTTCTTCCCAAGGTACCAAACCAAGACGTCAGTTTAGCAGACATGAGCGACTCTGGGGCATGGAGGTGGTAGGGTACCAACAGGATGCCAGTTGTATGTGGATGGCTCTCTCTGCCCTGGGGCTTGAGCAGGTAAGTAATCTGTCCTCATGGGCTTTCTCCCCCAATCCTGTTTCTTTCTGACTGCATGACCTAATTTATCCTCCTTTCTCACAGGGCCAGGTTGTGGGTTTGGCCCAGCTCTATTGGCGAGGGGGCAAGCTATCTCAAGTCATAGAAGCCCAAGCAGTGGCCTTGCCCCAACATAGATTTTCTAGGAATCCTCAGCCTTCAGCAGCTCTCTTGGCTGCTGTGCGGAGAGGCAAGGAACGGATTGGACAGGTAAACTGGGCTTCCAGGGGGCAGGAGAAGAAGTTTGGGAACTGTGACAGCAAAGTTCTACTCAACTGGAGAAAGAAGGCAGACAATATGGCTGGATTTTCTAATCACGTGTCTTCTCCCCCCCCCACCCCCCCCCCCGCCCCAGTTCCATGTGGTAGAGCTGGGCCCCCATCAACCAGGGAATGCAGCCTTGCTCAGTACCCGTGGCAACATACCCTTCAAAGGAGCTCGGCCAGGTGACTTCCCTAGTGCTGTACAGGTGAGTTTGGTAGCAGTAGCAAAGCTGGGCTATTAATAGCTGTCAACAATGATGCCCAGAACTCTCAACATGACTATACATTTCAAATTTGAATATGCTATATGGTAATGCATCCTATTCTCAACCTAGAAACAGCAAATGCTGCAGGCTGAATATATTTGGCTTTCTGGGTCATATAAAATTATATGCTTAGATAACAAAATCTGGCCAAGGGGGATATGAATGGTCTTAACTTTCACCTACCTAGTTGGTGTTGCTTATGGTGACTTTCCCTTTCTTAACCATCTCTGCTCCTGTAGTTGACCACACATTCTCATAAAGTTGCCTTATACTGCGTCATATAGGGAAGCAAGGTTAGTAGTATTAGCTATTGTGACTGGCAGCAGCTCTTCTGGGTCTCAAGCGCGAGGTCTTTCTCATCATCTGCGACCTGATGATTTGAGATGTCAGGAACTGAACCTTGGACTCTCTGTATGCAAAGTAGATTCTCTGCCACCAAACCACCATCCCTTTCAGTATCTATTCATTCCAAGGAAGTAGTGGTGGTGGTGGGTTTTTTGTTTTCGTTTTTATTGGATTTATACCCCGCCCTTCAGTACCCGAAGGAGTCTCAGAGCAGTTTACAATCTCCTTTCCCTCCACCTCCCCACAACAGACACCCTGTGAGGTAGGTGGGGCTGCTTGTGAGCAAACAGCTCTGAAAGAACTTGTAACTGATCCAAGGTCACCCCAGCAGCAGAATGTGGAGGAGTGGGGAATCACTCCCAGTTTAGGGTCCACGGTTCTTCCAGATTAGAGTCCACGCTCCGAACCACTGCATCAAACTGGCTCTCAGTTTTCCTTTCCCTTGCTGTTGGAGGCCCCAGTAAGAGATGACGGAAAGGCTTTTAGGGTATGAGTGTAAGGTACTGGAATGGTTTGAGAGACTTTCCAGGTTCCTGTATTACTCTACTTTTCTGTCCTCTAGTTCCTGCCCCACTTAGGTGTGGCAGCAATTCTTACCAAACACGCCTTGCTCTTCCTTGCGGATGTTGAGACAGCACAAGTCATCCATCGCGTCCACCTGGTGTGGGATATCCTGTTTGCCACTGTACTTGATGATGATAAACACCACAGCCTGCTAGGAGTCTGCCGTAGCGGCAAGGTGAGTTGGAGAAATGGGAGTAGTCGGGTGAAACTGAGAAGGATTAAGCTGAGAAAGATCAATATTGGGGGGTGGGGGTGGCCACGAGGCCTGGACTGGCTAAACTCCTCCTGTTCTTCTTCTGCCAGGTTCTGTCCATCTCCATCTGTCCCTACACACTGTGCCAGTATTTAGCTCGCCGTCCTGCCAGCCTCTACCTCTCCCAGCGGGTGCTGCAGCTGGTGGGCCAGGTTTCCTGATCAAGGGGAGCCTGTTCTCGTGGAGTGATATTGATCCAAATAGAGGGGATGGTTGTTCTACCTCACATGGATCCCATAGGATGGAGAGGGACAGCCTCTCAAGGGAGGGAGGAGGGGAAATGGTGTCCGTACCAGCAGTGGGCTTGCTGAGCTGCTATGGCACTGGGGAAGAAAAGGATTGACAATTCTGTGGGGGAATACGATGTCTATAAGTATGAATTTTGTTTTTGTATACTGGGCAGATTTTATGGGGAGAGAAAATGCCCATAGTGAGGATATTTATTCTGGAAGAGGACATAGGAACATATCTGTAGAACTGGTTTCTTTGCCCACTCTATAGTCTTGGTTTCTAACCTGTCCTGGTTCCTTTTTAAAAAGTGATGCTAGGTGCAGGAGAGCTGTGCCTCTCTCTCTCTCTTGTTTGTAAGGAAGACTGTCACAAGGGAGGTGGAGAGAGGCTTTTCGTCAATAGCTGTGCGCTTCCCACCTGCTGTGTTATCACCTGCTGATTTGCCATTGCTTTGAAAATAAAAGGAAATGGAATGGTTACCTGCCTGCCTGCTTGTCATTCCTGGGGAGCCAGAAAGATCCGATCTTTGGTGTTCCCATACCAAGGTTACCTGGATATGTTAAGTGCTTTGGGGGTGGTGTGTGTGTTTGTGTAAACTTATGCCCAAAGTTGTACTAGTGGGAAAGGCTTTATTAGTGGTGGTATAGCCACTGTCCAGTAAGTATCTGTCACAATAATATTGCATATAAGAGCACACTGCAGTAGTGCAGGGTTAGGGAAGAGATTTTTGTCTCACTAGTGACCCTCAAATCAGATGCATTCTTGGGCTTCCGGTCTGGCTCCCGCGAATGGCGGACGCATCCTCGGGTCGCTCCCGAGGGCGTCTCGCCCGCCCGCGGTGGAGGAGGGAATCCGCATGAGCGGAGACCCGAACAAGCACCTCAGAAGAGAGGAGCTTGGATCCGGGGCGCTTTAGGGCGCACTAGGGGGGAGTCGCTCTTTCGGCCGAGAGGTCGGAGAACGAGGCTCCCGCCATGCCCTGCCCCATCGGACCTTGCTGCGTGAGCGACCCCGAACGGGGTTTAGCGGAGCCACCAGACGTCACCGAGTGATAAAGCGACCATCCGCAAAAATGGAAAAAGAAAAGAAAAGATCGGCTTAACTGTGAGTTGTCAAAATGCAGAGAAAAAGAACTAAAAATTGTTTCCCCCCCCCTCCCAGCGACAAAGGCGAAGAGGTTAATCCTCCATCTGTATAAGCAAAAAAGAAAGGGGGGGGGAATGAATTGAGCGGACAGTGATGTTTTCCTTTGATGTATTTGAAAGCGAGAAATTTGTCTCTCTGGAGCACATTTTAAGAACTTTCTAAAAGTAAACAAAAAAGAAAAGATGTCGGAGCTGGGCAAAAGCGAGCGGAGAAGAAGGGAGGGACTTCCGTCTGGGCGTTTGCTTGTGTGCGAGAGCCGGCTGTTGAATGTTTGGACTGTTTATGGCTGTGAATCCGACGGGAGTTTTGTAAAACGGAAAAGTTTGAATTGTGACAGCGAGAAGTGCCTGGCAAGCGCTTATATAAGTCAACAATTGCGAGGAGGACCCATAGAGAGTTTGGGAGCGGATATAAAAGCGAAAATGAAATTAATACCATTCTCAAAACTGGGGACCTCCGGTAATGGCATGAAAAGAAGAGGATTTATAGTGCATGAACTGAGAGTATTAACAACAACCCGAAGGAGGATCTAACAAGCCGGAAGGAGAAGACAACAGAGGAAGCTCCTCCACGTCAGCGATAGTAAAAGTACCCAGCACGCAAAGAAGCGGTTCTGAATGTGCACAGAAGAGATCTTTTTTATTAACAGAAACTCAGAGGAACATTACTAACATACTAACAGAGAGTTACATGTAACAGGACTAAGAAAAGAAGTTTGACAACACACAGAAGAAGCCCAAGAAGATTAATTGGACATTACTAACAGTTTAATTTACCAGTTTATATATCACTCAGCTTTCTCTTTCTCCCACTGTCTACCCTTCCCTTTTTTTCTTTTAAGCGAAATACCTCCCCTTTTTAGGGGAGCTAATAAAATCTTTATTAAAAAATAAAAAAAAATCAGATGCATTCTTGAGTGCTATGTTTTGATGGCGATGTGAACTGAAGGGAAGTTGGTGGCCTCGTTTGCAACTGGCACGTGAAGTGCACAGTCATCATGCAGAGAACTGAAGATCTGTAAAACTTTGAGGAACAGGCACTAGAGAGTTGAAGGAGCACTGCTGCTCATGACAATTTAAGTGGTTGCCTAGGTCCAGGTCAGAATGCAGCTAAACCTGACCTACAGTTACCTAGTTCATTCTTATGGAAGCAGTTGCCGCTTGTTGATACAGTCACTGAACCTAAGAAGCTCCTCTGTGAGCGAAGGGAATTCAGCCCGAAAGGTCTGTTCAGCTTTAACATTCTGAGCCTTGCCAACACGAAACACGTATTTAATGGCCGTTAGTCTTCCACAACACTGGGCCATTGTAAATAAAACTGTGCTCGAGGAAATGCTGTCCCTGACACACATCGTTTGGCTTGAGGAAATGTTTATCAAAAGAATCTGTGGGTTTTGTAAGGCAACATACAGAATGTGTAACACACATACCATTTCACATGTGTTGCAGTTGAGATGTACTATAAAATCCAGTTTGGTGCAGCTAGCCAATGGACCACAACGATATCATTTAAGAGTGGAGGAGGAGGAGAGGTATTTCAGGCACTTAGCATGTCTTCTCTTTGTCACTGTGGCTCTTCTTTGCTTCCCCCCCTCCACATGTTTGTAGAACGGAAGAAACATTTGACCTCAATCTGTCTGCTTGGATTAGATTCCCAAGATGCTTCTCCTTTGCTTCACCCTATGTGGAGTTTTGTCACAACTGTGAATCCATCGTTTCCTTGTTGGCATATAAACGGTGGCTAACAGTTACTGCTGTTACAGGCAGTCACATCTGTAGAGGAGGATGGTTTTAAATGGGGAGCAAGTTGGTTATGGTTTGGTTCCTGATATTAGTAACCCCTGTGTGCAAAAGCAGATGTGTAAAATTTTACTAGGGCCAGAATTGCAAGTGAAAGGTGGGCAACATCACATAGAATGATGATGAAATGCAGATTGCTTGCCAGACCAATTTCCAAACTTCCCAATGAATTTTGAATATATATGATTTTCCTTACGGTACGTTGCTCAACAACTAAATTATGGAGACTAATATTCTGAACTGATCTAATTCAGTCTCCTCCAGTTTATTCAAGAGCAGATGAATGTGTTCAACAGTTATTACAAACTTCATTCTATTTAAGGCTGAAAACAGATGTAATCTGTTAACAGGGGTTATGGCAGGGTCTTCATGTGCAGTAGCACTAGCCCAACTTCGCCCCTTATCTTGCATACCAACGAACTGAACACTGGCTCAGCCATCAGCCTTTCACTTCCCTCATGTTTCATGCAAACTATCCCCCCCCCTTTTAAGCAGCATGTATACATACATCCTTCACCTTATTAAAAGAAAAACACTGCAAGCAGTTTACTGGATGGCGTTTTATGACTGGTTGCAAGACACCTAAAGGTTTGAAAAGATAAGGACCATACATGTAAAGTAAAGAAAAAAAATCGATGGGGAGAAGTGAAGACATCACAGCTGCTTGCCAAGTAGCACTACCCACAGCTGGGTTTTTCCCAGTTAAAATGAAACACTCCAAAGCAGGGTTTATTTATTTTTATTCGTTTATTTGGCAGAGGCATCCCAGGATAGAAAAAGGTATGTTTGGACTGGATGTGGTCTTTCCCAGCTGCCCCCACACTATAAATGTTATATTTTGATTTCAGTCTAAATTTGTTGTCTAAAAAAAAAAAAATGTGGTTGCTCAGGAGCCACTTGGGGGAAGAGAGACAGTGAGAGCAGCTTCCTTGTGGAGCAGGGTAAAGGGGTGTGTCCTTAAGGAGCCAGAAGACAAGTAGCAAAGATGTAAAGTTGCTTTGCCCCATGGTTTGCTCTTATGCTGTCCTTCAGTTCCACACACGTCATACACTTAAATATCCCTCAGCCTCCTCAGTGGGATATTCTCCCTGTGCATCAGTCTAATATTAAAAGAGAAGTATCATCAGGGCAGAGGTCAAATGCCAATGCAGCAAACGTCAGTGAACGAGATGCAGATTCAAAATGAAGCGACTGCCTTCTGTGTCAGAATAAGTAACCAAAAAATGCTGCTTCAGGAGAAAATCTAATAGACACCAATTAAATGCATGACTTGGTTGCTGCTGCCAATGCTGCTAGTGGTTCCTTGCTGGTAGCTGTTGCATATAAGTTGCCGGGGCTAGAGTGACAGAGATTTGTGCATGGATCTCCCTCTGCTGAATGCTCAGTGCTGTTTTCCATTGTGTCCAACTTAGTACTGCTTTGCTACCAGCAGTATAAGGAACCAGTTGTCACATTGCAACATATGGCTGCGGTCCTACATACACTTACCTGGGAGTAAGCCTGATTGGACTCAGTGGGACTTATTTCTGAGGAAAGATGTTTAGGATTGTATAGTATCTTTCTCCTGCTCTGTGTTGCTTTACAGGGATTTTCCCCCTGCTTGTTCTCTCCAATTAACCAATATTTTCACTAGTTGATCAGAAGTCATTTGATATAATTTTGCACAGAGCAGTCAATAAGGAAGTCACAATATGTTTGAATTCTATCTACCAAGGAAACTAGAGTTGTACATGCAGTTTTAGGTAAACTGTAAATATGTCCAAATGGATAAGGTAGGAGGACTGGAAGGTAGCTAATGTCACTCCCATCTTTAAAAAGGGTTCCAGAGGAGATCCAGAGGTGAACCTAAACAGCATGATAAAAAGTAGAGACGTCACCCTGCCAACAAAAGTCCGCATGGTCAAAGCAATGGTATTCCCAGTAGTCATGTATGGCTGCGAGAGTTGGACTATAAGGAAGGTCGAGCGCCGAAGAATAGATTCTTTTGAACTATGGTGCTGGAGAAGACTCTTGAGAGTCCCTTGGACTGCAAGAAGAACAAATCAGTCAATCCTAAAAGAAATCAACCCTGACTGTTCCCTGGAAGGCCAGATAATGAAACTGAAGCTCAAATACTTTGCCCACCAAATGAGAAGGGAGCACTCACTGGAGAAGACCCTGATGCTGGGAAAGATTGAAGGTCAAAGAAGATGGGGACGGCAAAGGATGAGATGGTTAGACAGTGTCATAGATGCAACGAACATGAAATTGAGCAAACTTCAGAGGACGGCAGAAGACAGGAAGGCCTGGTGTGATCTGGATCTGGAAATTGAAAACAAATCAGCCAGTATCGTAATGCCCCTGTATAAATCAATGGTGTGACCTCATTTGGAGTACTGTGTACAGTT